AGTAAGAATAGTAGTAACAGCAATAACACGAACCAGTCACAACAATAGTAACAGTAGTAACAATAATAGCAATAATAACAATAATAACAACAATGACAATAATAACAATAATCACAATAATAACAATAATAACAATAATAACAATAGTAACAATAATAACAATAATAACAATAATAGCAGTAATGACAATCATGACAATAATGACAATAGTAACAATAATAACAATGATAACAAAAAAACAAATAATAACAATAAACACAAGATATTTCAGCAAACGCAATAGTCACAGTAATAGCAATAACGACAATGTGGAGGCACAGTGGCGGAAACTGCCCCACGGGTGCCAGACACTCGGCCCATTGGCGCATCCCGCTCTTGTCGCCTGGCACCTGGCGACTGGATGAAACTGCACACGGTAACGATACGCATACGAAGAAGAAACAGTAATGTAGATTTTGCACCATGAGAATAAACACGTAGAATAATAATCATGGTTTATAAACTTAGACAAGGTTAATAATCATGGATCAGGATGAGAATGATGTTTCACAGATATTTTGCACTTTCCATGCACACAGGGGGCTTGAAAGCTAAACCTGTCGAGCCCTAAACACTTGCACAGAGTTCTCACGCTTGAGCTATCCCACCCCTTGAAAGCTGAACTCCCCGGTCGGAGTTGTTCAACCTCTCACCCCCTCCCCCCCCCCCCCCCCCCCCAATGTAATATCAATATATATATGTGTATATATATATATATACATATATATATATATATGTATACAAAATAATGAAAAGCTGCATTCTCAAAAGAGCCACCTGGAGCCGATGATGCAGTGCTGCCACATTGAGGGCGCACCAGGGATGGGGTCCTTGGCGGGACGTTTTGATGTTTAGGGTTTAGGGTTTAGGGTTTAGGGTTTAGGGTTTAGGGTTCAGGGTTCAGGGTTCAGGGTTTAGGGTTTAGGGTTTAGGGTTTAGGGTTTAGGGTTTAGTGTTTAGGGTTTAAGGTTTAGGGTTTCGGGTAAACCCTGAACGATCTTTCAGGGCCCATGCGTGCTGCGACACATGTCGCCACCAATGCTTCAACCCTCCGCCTGTGGCTGGAAGTCCAGGGTCCCAGCACTGGCTGCACAGCGGAAAGTAGGAATGCGCGAGCACCTAAGCTGCTTGCCCTTCAATGTGTGCTACGTCGCGGTTCACTCGGCTCACTTAAGCATCCACTTTCCTTTTCCTGCATCTTTCAAGTCTTAGAAGAGGCAGCCCTTTCTGTGCGCACCCAGCTTGGGGTTCCTTGTTGTTTCTTCGAGCGCGAGGGTTGGGAGCCTCATGGAGCCTCCGCACCTCCTCGCACGTTGCCACACCGAGAAGGCTACATCCAAAGGGCTTGCCCACTTGCCTTACGTGTGACACTCGGCACTGGCCTCCGGCAGCAACATGACAGGAGCACCCCCCGCGCACAGAGCGCGCCCGAAGTCTGATGCGAGCATGAGACTTCCCCCGAGAAACCAGCCTGTGAAATTGTCTCCTTTCCCCTTCCCCCTCAGACTTGAGAAACACGAAAAAAAGCCCCTTCCTCTCTCTCTCTCTCTCTGCAGGCTTGGCCCCCCCGAAGGGGAGCCGCCCCGAAGGGCGCGCTCCCTCTCTCTCTCTCTCTCTCTCTCTTGAGGGCATGAGGGCCCGAGGACCCCCGCGCGCTCTCTTCCTTCCTTCCGTCGCACATAACCTCCCAGAGGGAGGTCGCCCTCACGGGCGTGCTCCACTGAGTCTGTCGGTGAAATATTGTGACCCCCCTGTGTGTTGCAGTGGGGCTCTCTCTCTCTCTCTCTCTCTCTCTCTCGCGCTCTCTCTCGGACAATAGCAAACGTCAAACACCCTTGACACCTGAAGAGCCTACACCTGCTGCTAACCCCCACGGAGTTGTCCAGAGGGCACCCATCATGCACGAGGCCGCGCAGGCCATCACGAAGAGAAGTCGCGCCATGGGGCCAGGTCTCCTGAAAAGCTCCCAACGGCGACATGGAGGGGGCAGTGGGAGTGTGTCCCCTAAACCCTAAACCCTAAACCCTAAACCCTAAACCCTAAACCCTAAACCCTAAACCCTAAACCCGAAACCCTGAACCCTGAACCCTGAACCCTAGAAGTCCTGTCCTTCAAAGGAGCCTCCAAGCAGCCTTGGCTCTCGAGCCAGAGGCTTCCGGTCCACAATCGCAGTCCACTCGAAAGCCCCTCGCATTCACGTGGTGTCTGTGTGTAGGGTTTAGGGTTTAGGGTTTAGGGTTTAGGGTTTAGGGTTTAGGGTTTAGGGTTTAGGGTTTAGGGTTTAGGGTTTAGGGTTTAGGGTTTAGGGTTTAGGGTTTAGGGTTTAGGGTTTAGGGTTTAGGGTTTAGGGTTTAGGGTTTAGGGTTTAGGGTTTAGGGTTTAGGGTTTAGGGTTTAGGCATTAAGGGATCCCTGATTGTCTATCTACATGCTCAAGAGGCGCGGCCTGTTTTCTCCACGTGGCGTTGCGAGCTACATTGGAGGCGAGAACGTCGTACCGCTGTACGCATGCTAGCAGCACACGGTGAGCGCTGAAACACTCAGAACCTCTAGCCGTTTCGACCCTCGCCTCCAGTCTGACCTTTGGGCATCCAATCTGCTTGGGGCGCTTCTCTACCAAGCCGTTGTAGACGCCATCTGGGCTGCTTTGAGCACAGCTTCTGCTCAAAGCTGCATTCAAAACGAACTCCGGGAAGGCATCGGTCATTGCCTTTTAGGATTAACCTTGGGGCAGGTGCAGCAGCCAAGCAAACCAAGCTTTCAGAACATGGGTAGTGGGGCCGAGGACGGCAGCTGAGCACCTGCGTTTACACAGCAGGCCTGTTTTGAGGCTCACCGACACAGGCTGCTCCTAGCTACGACGGTGTGGAGGGTTGGTGGACAACGCCAGTGAATGCTTTTTGGATAGAGGGCAAACTTCTGACCATGCGTCTGGCAAAGGAAACGCTCAAGGCTTCCACTCATTATGTTGCTTGCTGCTTCTTGCTTTTTCGTTTGGGGGGAAGGCGATCGTTGCCGATCGTTGCGACTGGTTTCCTACGTGAAACACCTCTTCCCAGTCGTATCAAGAGGGAAGGAGGGGGATGCTGGCCATAAGGCACAGAAGAACGAGGCATTTGCTCACACAGTGCCCTGCATCGAAGGCTCAAGTGACTCCGGCAGAAAAAATTCGTCACTCTGCTTCTTGGCCATGGTTGCTCAGCTGCTCAGCTGACCGAGTCTTCAAAGGGTTTAGGCTTTAGGTTTTACGGTTTAGGGTTTAGGGTTTGATGTGATAGGGCGTAAGTGCTGTGAAGGTTAGGTTTCGGAACAAGCTCGAAAGCTTCGCGAGGTGCGAAGAGCAGCTTTGGCCCGATCGTGGAGGGCCATCTAACACTTTTCTCCCACCCCACGCCGTCCGAGGCGGCAAAGCCACCCAAACCTATTCCTTTTAGGGTTAGGGCAGGGACGGGCCAGGGGGCCAAGGGGCCGGGCCAGCCAGCTTAGGGGGGGCGGGGGCAGTACTGGTCCCGAGCAGAACGTGCTCCGGTACCGGGCCAATCGTGGGTGCTACCGACCTCCGAGCTGTTGGAGGTGAGCGAACGACCTGGGTCGGCTTGCGCCATCGAGGTCGAGGGGCTTAGGTGCCGCCCCCCAACTGTAGGGGGGCGGCCTAGGCCTTGAGTTTAGGGTCTAGGGCTTAGGGCTTAGGGTTTAGAGTTAGGGACAACAGCACAAGCCCATACGACCCCTGGATTCACAATGCGCCTAAACGCACCGCAGCAGTGCCAGGCCTTGTCGGCACTCATGCTCGGAGTTCAGGGTTTCGTGAAGCAGCCCTCTAAACCCTAAACCCTAAACCCTAAACCTAAACCCTAAACCCTAAACCCTAGGCTAGGAAAGGGGAACAGGTGAGCAGCCATGGCCCAGCTCCCGCCATCCCGAGCTGAAAACCGGGCAGAGCTTGGCAGCCCGGGGGGCAGATTGCTGAATTGATGTAAGAAAGTTGAGGAGGCATCCTCGCGGGACTCAAGATGAAAGAATCAAGGCAAAAAGTGCTCTTTTTTCTGGCTTTCGGGCCCTTCTCACCCAGGAGTCCCCCGCTAGGGACCCTCCCCGAACCCCTTATAGCGGCCTTAGCGAATTCTTTGAATGCGAAGCTTGCAACACATCAGCAAGCTGCGGCATGGCCATAATGTCCTGAGCGAACTTGGAGGGTTTAGGGTTTAGGGTTTAGGGTTTAGGGTTTAGGGTTTAGGGTTTAGGGTTTAGGGTTTAGGGTTTAGGGTTTAGGGTTTAGGGTTTAGAGTTTAGGGTCTAGCGTTTAGGGTTTGGGTTTAGGGTTTAGAGTTTAGGGTGTGTTGAGAGATCCTGAAGCAGTCCAGCAAGCTGAGCTGTGGGCATTTGCAAAAAGAAGACAGCCTGCAAAAGCCAAGGATGGGGGTACTGACATGCGACTGGCAGACATCCTGCACTGGAGTCCACGATGGAAGTCGCACAGGCTTTCAGGCGTCGCCTCTTCTTTGCGAAGCGCTTCATGTTACAGCACCTCGGACTGCAGGCTCTGCGGCTGTCTGCAGCAGATGGTCAAGATCCGCAAGCTGACCTTCTTGAATAGGCACTGGAAGTACTCGAGGCACAGCTGACGTGGAGCCTAGCCCTTGCATGTCGGCGGCTTTCCGAATATGCCGGAGTGCATTCAAGGCGCTGCCGCTGTACCATCGCATGTCAGCAGCAGTGGCTTCAAGTCAAAGCAGCACAGGTCTGCCACAAAGAAATATACATTCTTCGCGCAAAACATAAACCAAAGACATCCCGGGATTCTGAGCTGCACACAGCAAATGAGCCCCCCCTTGTTGTGGCAGACCCGTTGCAAGACTCTTAGCAGTTGGGGTGCCGCCAAAAACCATGAGCACCTGTTGCAGATGAATGTGGCTTTCAGAGTCTCGCCCCCTGCGTGCCAAAAGTTTCTTGCCAGCCTTCTCAGAGAGCACGCCTGGCTCTGACATGACCTCTGCTCGGTCCTTCCCAAGGCCAGGGGCTACGTGCCGGGTTTCCGAAGTTTTGGGGCACCTTGTCGGGGTTAGGGGTACCGAACTTGGGGTCCTTATTTTCAGGAAATCCTACTATTTGGGGTTTCATATTCGGGGTTCCTTATTCCCCAAACAGTCTACTGTTGGGGTTTTAAAAGATTGCTGACATTCTGAGGACTGTTGCCGGGTTCTTGGGCTCCTTGTCTCCCTTTGTCTCCCTTTGTCTCCTTGTGTTTCCCTTCATGTGGGTGGCTTTGATGTGTTGCTGTGCTCCTCCCTTCGTCTCCCTTTGTCTCCCGTCGTCTCAAGTACAGTCCATGGCGAAAGGTGGTTATCCACCACACACTGTCCCAGCCTTTAGGGTTTAGGGTTTAGGGTTTAGGCCTTGGGGTTGAGCGCTGCACCTAGCCCAAGCACATGCACCGCACACTTGGCCCTCAGCAACACGTAATCTCGTAATCTCGGACAGAGATGTCGGCCATGCAGCTGCGCGGGGTCCTTGCGCCTGATGGCCTGAAGCCGCCTCTTCGGCATCCGCTCTTTCAGGTGCCACAGAGGGTCTGTGCGCCTGCGGGGATATCGCTTCCAGGCTTCGACGCACGCCACACCTCCAAGCCCGCCGACTCCTAGCAATCAGCCGAAACATCCATAAGCTGCCCTCAAGCCTAAGCCCTAAACTGAAAACCCTATTTGGTGTTCTCTTGGAATGGGTCTTACACTGTTGGAGTTTAGAGCTTAGGGCTTCACGGGGTTTGCCAACTTCCCTCGGTAAGTGCAAGAATCTCCGCACCTCTCGCCGTGGCGCTCGGCGCCTCAGCTAGCAAGAGCCCCAACAAATGCAGTGGCTGTGGTAGGGCTCAGGCTTTTGCCTCCTTGGCAAGCAACCAGGCTAGTGTCTACGGTGCACTGCATACACATCTTTGTCGAAGAGGTGATTTAGAACTGGCAACCCAGATGTTCAGACAACGGAAAATATGTTCAATTCAAAGCGTCACGTTCCAAGGCCTCGGCTCATTGATGTGCTCGACACTACCTGGCAACTCTCTGAATGAGAATACTAACCCAAACGCCTCGCGCAGCCCTGCTGTCTGCGACGTTCCACGAATGAATTGCTCTCTGGTTACAGCTCTAGATATAGATATAGATTTAGGTATAGGTACAGATTTCATAGAGACATAGACATTGAGATTGATAATGATAGTGATAGTGATATTGATAATGCTGATACAGACGTGGACCTTAAAGCCGCGATCCGAGTGCGAGCCAGCTCTCGGCTGATGAAACTCCGGGTGCTGGCTTCACGCGCACGAGCCACTCACAAGCCATTGGTTTGCGGAGACCTTAAGGGTTTAGGGTTTAGGGTTTAGGGTTTAGGGTTTAGGGAAAAGGGTTTAGGGTTTAGGGTTTAGGGTTTAGCCTCATAAATCCTGTCCAAGCAGACCCTGAACCCTATAACCCTAAGCAGGCTCCGACGGTCAGGCCTTTTGGAGGATGCGGCGGCCTGCGCCCGTCGTATCCCATCCGTCCAACTTCGTCGCCTGCACAAAATCACAAAATGCACACAAGCTAAGCACAAACCCAAAAGCCCCTCTCCCCTGGTTCACTAAGCGACTGAACAACAAAGCCGGCAACATCAAGAAACAACGAACCATCATCATGCGCTGCCACGTGCTATCATGCGCTGCCGTAGAGGAGGCAGCAGCGTAACTGTTGGAAGTCTGAGAACCGTCTCCGACTCCGAGAGCTGCACCCGGCAGAGACAGATGGCGCAACTCGTGGAGGTCATACCTTAGAAGAGGCTGCACAGGAAGCCACCTTTCTGGGCTGAAGCAGCTAGCAGCTAGTTGCATGCAGGACACGAGTCTCGAAGGTCACGGTAAGCCAAAGAAGGAGATGTTGCGCCTCTGCCATGCACTGCGTAGGTACTCTGGCACGAGTAACTACTGAGGATTGCCGAAAAATAGGGGTACCCCTATTTTGGGGTCCCTGTTAAGGGGATTCTATTCTATTTTGGGGGTGTACAAGGGGTATCCCTATTTTGGGTACCCTATTTTGGGGTCCTTTTAAGGGGATTCTATTCTATTTTGGGGGTATACAAGGGGTACACCCTATTTTGGGAAAGAACCAGCTCAGTCTGCACAGCAAGTAAAGCTTCAACGCGGGGCACCAATGCCGCTGGCATCCTTGCGAAGCAGAGGCGGCCGGCGGGCCTGTGCAAGAAACAGGCAGATACCTAGGGTTTAGGGTTTAGGGTTTCGGGTTTAGGGTTTAGGGTGGTCCAACCTCTCACCAGCCAAGCTTGCAGACAAGACTATTTTAGAAAAACACACAGCGAAAGCACCGCATAGCCCGGCATCGCACCTGGCTTCTTCTTCCCCAGTGCCACTCTCCGCTGGAGGTCTGCGACCCCTCGGAGCTACGAGCCTCCGCAGTGTGCAGTGGTTGGCAACGTTGGGCCATAAAAGGATGGGCTAGTTTTGGCCTTATAATCCCCATAATGAACCCTTATTAAGGGCCTTTTAAGGGATTATAGGGTATAATTTATACTCCCCATAATGAACCCTATAAAGGGCCTTTTAAGGGATTATAGGGTATAATAGCCCATCCTGGTATCATCGTGCAACGATGATACCGAGAGCTAGAACCACACAAGTCAAAACCGACAAGACCGGCCTGGCCAGGAAGCAAAGGCTTGCTGGGATTCTCTCTGCAGACGCGCTCGTGGGATCCCCAGAAGGGGAGGCGGTTCCTGAGGACTTCTTTGCCGGCTGCCGTGGATGTTCGCTAAGCTGTTCATATACAGTCCATTCGAGAGAAGAGCGTGCTCTTCCAGCTATTCTCTACTAAGCTACTATAGAGCTCCCCTCCCAGGCAATACCCTCACTGAAAACTAAGGGTGTGGGAGGGAGCCGAAGGCCGCCTCCTGAAACTCTCCCGCCGCTCGCTGCGAGAGTGTCTGTGTGGGTGTGGGTGTCTGGGTGCGTACGGTCGTGCGTGTACCGAAGAGAGCTTGTTTGAACGTCACATCCCTTCTGAGTCCCCGGCAAACTCTTGTGCTGCCCCTTCTTTGTTACACACCTTGGAGCCGCACGCATGTCAAGTCATGCCAAAGTCGCTGATGTCAGAACCTGACTTGTGCACACGCGACCGAGCACCGGGACGGTCTGCAACACCAGTAGCACGGCACGATCTCGTCGGCCGCATAGGCGACCGAGAGCTTGTCAAAGTGGTGCTCATGCATGTGCAGCCTCTGCCCAACAGAGTGCCACAGACAAAGGCTCCCCAAGATACGCAGTGTGTAGGCCTGACCCCATCATCAGTACCACGATACAGATTAGTGGACAATACATGTATCATAATACGATATCATATATACACATATCGTGTAGGCTCTGTTGAATTCTGCTGGTGTGTACGTTCATCCGAGTCATCCTATCGTCTCACCTCCCGCTGGCCTCCATCTCTCGAAGGATCCCAGGATTATGTTCTCGGCTTTGCCTCACATGTCGAAGGATTTCGACTGTCTGACTGTGCATGCGGTTCAAGACCATCACCGCTGCAACAAACGAGATCCGGCCTTCGTGGCTCATGCCCCAACCTTTCCAAGAAGGGTTTAGGGTTTAGGGTTTCGGGTTTAGAGTTTAGGGTTTAGGGTTTAAGGTTTAGGGTTTAGGGTTTAGGGTTTTGGGTTTAGGGTTTAGGGTTTAGGGTGACCCCGATGCACGCGAGGACTCGCTACACGATTGCAAAAGCTCAACTGCTGCATGGCAAGCGATGGCAAGGGTCCGCGCAGATTTCTGACTGATGGCGCCCTTCCAAAAAAAAACACTCAGCCCGCGACACCACGGACACCAGCAGACCTTGGGGGGCTTTCATTTCTGGAATCATGGCTTCAGGGTTGCAGAGGCTTCTTCTGAGACGTACAACCGGCACAAGGCCTGCCCCAAAAAAACGAAGTCAGTTAGCAGCTCAGTTCGTTCTGTACTTGCTACAAGTACCGTCACTAGCTCGAAGAGTGCCAGAACCCAAAACTGCCCACTGCATGACCGTGCAGGTTCCATGCTTGTGGCCTCGTCAGCTGTGGCCGGGGATGACGGAGGTAGAGACGTCTTCTCCGAGTCCTGGGAATGACTGAGGAACAAGGTTTCCAAAGGCCCATGAGGACGAGAGAGCGCTGCCACTCCTAATGGAGTGGCTTCAGACTTGCGTTCATTCACAACCCATGCTCCTTGAAAAACATAAAGCAGTGTTCAAATCCTTGCCAAACTAACGAACTCCCTCAGCTCGGGTGCCGACCTCGCGCAGGCCTTCAGGCTGCCTGAAGACTCGGACTTGTCTGTTGATCAACTGCGTCCTGCCCTGGGTGTGAACTTCGCGGAAGCGCTACAACTGCAAAGCAAATGCGCCTCGTACGATGGGCACCATCTGAGACTGACTTCTCGGCCAAGGCAAGCGAGTGACCGTGCCTTGGACAGTATCGGAAGCTCGTAACACGCGGCAGAAGAGCTCAATGCCCGCAACGGACCCGGAGAGCAAGGGAGCTGACCTCCTAGTACTGTGCACACTGTCGGTCTGACCAAGTTCATCGGGCTTCGGCTCCCAGTACCTGCTTAACAGCCCGCATCTACCAACACAAGCGAGTACAAGCTCACACGTGGCCCATGTCCCTAAACACGGAACATACAAATCGCCACCTCAAGCTTCAGCTTGCAAATCTCCCAGGCTCCATTTACGGACAAAATTTCGACTGGCCCACGAGCTCTCATGGTTGCAACGCAGACAAACTTCCAGTGGCCTGGGCCTAGCCACCCTGCGCATCCCTACACAGCAACACGCTGAGAAGCTGGCGGGTTTTGCTCGGGCAGATCAGGCCCAGGCACCTTGCCAGCACACACAAAAGCACATGCAGGCTCATGGTTCGCATTGGGCGTTCCAATGTTACAGGGCTCTAGGCTGTAGGCAGCCCTTTCAAGGCCTCAAGCCAGGCTGCCGTGTTGCATTCTAACACGGCACGCAGTAGCAGTCTCACACGGGCATTATGGCACAGATATGCACCACCTGCAACTTCAACAAAACTTCAGCAACATGTAACGCACGGAAGGCAACAAGGACAGCAGATTTTAAGGCCTCTCTCAGCAGGACCCGCGATGTTCCATCACAAAGTCCTGTCCACGAATCCTCCCACAAGCCTCCAGGTCAGGAGGCCGCTGCCGCTCGTTTGGCCGCTTCACCAGCCTCAGAGCTCTGGAGTTAGGGTTTAGGGTTTAGGGTTTAGGGTTTAGGGTTTAGGGTTTAGAGTTTAGGGTTTAGGGCTTAGGTCATTGGGGAAGCAGCAAGGATCAGCGAGGGAAAGGGCAACAAAAAAAGTGGAGGACTTGAGGGCATTGGCTTTGAGATCATCGGAAAAAACCTTGCTGTGCGCTTTGAAGACTTGGACCCCTAAACCCTAACCCTAAGCCCCCAAACCCTCAACCCCACACCCAAACCCTCTAAACCCTCAACCCCCAAACCCGAAACAAACCTCAAACCCTAAACCCCTGAACCCTAAATGAGAGCAGGTGTTCCAGGTAAAAGAGGACAAAACTGAGCTGGCGCACTCGGGCGGCCCCGACAGGTCCACCTCAGCCGACGGATGCCGCAAGATAGGGTTTAGGGTTTAGGGTTCAGGGTTTAGGGTTTTGGGGTTTGGGGTTTGGGGTTTGGGGTTTGGGGTTTGGGGTTTGGGGTTTGGGGTTTGGGGTTTGGGGTTTGGGGTTTAGGGTTTAGGGTTTAGGGTTTAGGGTTTAGGGTTTAGGGTTTAGGGTTTAGGGTTTAGGGTTTAGGGTTTAGGGTTTAGGGTTTAGGGTTTAGGGTTTAGGGTTTGGGGTTTGGGGTTTGGGGTTTGGTTTGGGGTTTGGGGTTTGGGGTTTGGGGTTTGGGGTTTGGGGTTTGGGGTTTGGGGTTTGGGGTTTGGGGTTTGGGGTTTGGGATTGAGGGCTTTGAGTTTAGGGTTTGGGGTAAGATCCTCATGCTCCTCAGGCCGAAGTCATCCCTGGCTGCCGGAGCCTGAGGTTCGCGCACGCGAGAGGTCCACAGCGAGACAGGTGCAGTTGTCGTCACTGCGGCGAGACACGGCCTTCAGCAGCAGAACGTGGGGAATGAGAGTGTGCTTAGAGGCTGCTTACATGGGCATTTCCCAAAGTAGGCATACCCCTGTAGACCCCACATAGCATAGAGTCCCCTTCAAGGGACCCTTTAAAAAGTGTACCCCTCTTTTCGGAAACCCCCCCCAAAACCTCAAGAAACCTCCCCTTAAGAGCTCGACGGCACAAACCAGCGCATGGCTCAGGGCCGAAAGCGGCGATGAGGGCGGCAGCTGCTGGGCTCGGGACACGCACCTCACGATGCTCGGAGAACACATCGGGGGACACTTACAGGATGCTTCGGGCTGTGGGTCATCGTGGAAGGCCACAGAATTTGCAAATGTCAGCTCATTTTGCTCATTCAATAGCAGCAACGCAGCAACTGCGCAGGAGCTGAGCGAGTCATGAATCAAAGACTCCTGAGCTCTCATCTCACCTGTGCTCAATATGTCTGCAGGCTCTCTGCTTGTCTTCATGCCCCGTCGCGTTCTGGTGGAAGACTTGGCTGCAGCTGTCCGCGATAGAGGTGCTGAAATGACCACGTGCTACTGGCAGAAGGATGTTGTCCATGATGTCCTCGTGAACTCGCGCATGCTTTGGTATGCAGTCTCGTGTCATGACGGGCTCACCAATGCCAGGTCATTCCAATCGAAGTCATAATTCCGCACGACTTCGCCAGTGGAAGAGACCAAAGTTCGGTGTGGCACATAGCGGATTCCATATGCCTCGGAAGGCACTCCAGCACCATGCCAAAGGGCACTCTTTAGACGATTGGCTGCTGCGAACTCCTGAGCTTTGTTGAATCCTCAGCACACCGTGGCACCGACAAGACAACAAGCCACGACGTAATACAATATAATATAATAAAAATATAATATAATAGAATATAATATAATATAATGTAAGAAAACTATAATATATTATAATGTAATATAATATGCTTCTTGTTTCTTTGCGTGTCTTCATGCTCTGAGCTCCGAAGCCTTCCAAGTTGACGAGGACGAAATTGAAGACGTCCTTTTCCGAACGGATTTTAATCTGTGCATTCCCGTTTGCCGTGTGGGGTGAACTTGGGTGCCCGAACCCCCAACCCTCACGCTAACACCAGCCCGGGGGGCGAAAGCAACACTAAGCAAAACTTGTCAGGGCCAAGGCCCCACAAGCACCGCTACAAGAGATGAAGACATGTACTTCTCTGCGAGTCCACGTTCGTTCTCCTAGCATGGTCGCGTGAGGCTATAGGCACTTCAGCGGGTCGGCCGCAACTTTTTGGACATCTACCTATTTTGGCAAACGAAATCGGCCGGGACCCCAACGACAGAACGGCAACAGACTTACGGAGGACAGGGCCCAGTCCTCTTTGCTGGCGGGCACAGTTCGTGCCGCTTTTCAGGTGCACGGTGGCACAGCTGGGCACTCTTGCGCAGCGGAGCAGGTCTAAGGTTTCAACACATCTGTTGCTAGCCCACTTCTGCGTGGCTCTTGTACCTATGGCCTTTGGGCAGGTGAGTGAGCGAGCGACTGACTGAGTGAGTGAGTGAAAGTCGACCAGCACTTGCAGTACGGCCTGCCACCCACGTTCCCCTCCACGTTCCCCTCAACTTCTCAGCAGGCCCCGCAGGGGTCAGTTCAAGTGGGAGAGGCTTATGAGTACCCAGTCCCTACGTCGAACACCTCTTATTTGTCCTTCGCATGTGCCATTCTAGTATCTGGACCGCACATGTCATGAAAACTCATACCACGACAAGTCCGGCAGCAGCATGAATCGTTCAGAACACCGTGTGTTGAGAAGAAGCAGCTGCAAGAGACGAAAAAGCGAGAGAAGGAAGCGCTCAAACTTTGCGAGTTGGGTGAGAAAAAAAAGATACCCTGCACAATGTGCACAAATCGACCGTATTTGCCGTGAGCAATCCCCTGAGCCATCTGCTAAGAAGTTTCATCACGTACGTGTAAAAAAACTAATTCTGAGTCTCCTTGTACTTGGCAGACGTTGCATGCTTTTGCATCTCGGTGCTCGCCCGTCCAGATATGGGACAGTAGCTGCAGTAGAAGAGTAGGACCGTCGGCTTGCCCTCCTGGCACACATAGCGAAGAAGCAGGTCTTCTGCTCGGTTCTCAAGGGATAAATGCCAAGAAGAAAAGCCAAATTCAAGGGCAAGGACTACATAAGCACTCCTCGACGAAATGGCTTAAGGAGGTCGTCGATCCATCAAGAAGCTGGATCTCAAAGTCTGGGGCCTGCTTTCCCACCAAATCTTTGGCCATTGTTGCACGCTGCTTTGAGCCAGATGCTCAGGTCCGCGGTCGCCACACGTGTGCTGCAGGTTGCCGTGTGCTGGTCGCTTGAAAACGAAAGAACTACGCATGCACATGGGCCGCGGCATGGACACCACCTCTTGGGATGACCTGGCAGCCAGTGGCGGCTTGCGGCAAGCCAACATGCAGATGTACATGGCTGTGCTGTAACCTGAGACTCGCACATGAAGCCGAAGATGCCATCCGATGCCAGCAGCAAGAACTGCTGACCAGGCCGCCGCCTTTTGAAGCGGGAGAGATGCTCCCCCAAGTGGATCTTGGGGGGGGGTTCCGATTTTAGGGTTACCTTCTGCGGGTCCTGATTCTAAGGGAATCCTACTATTTGGGGGTCTATTTTGGGGGTCCCCCTATGTTCGTCAACCCCCATGTCAAAGCCAACTCACATCACTTCCAGGGGTCCCGGCGCTACCGCCTGGATCTCTGGAAGCCCAGAGATGATGTGGCCCTCCGGAGGTCCCTCGGCGAGTTCATCCGTCCGTTCGTCCCATTCTTCTCACTTCCTGTCTTCCCTCTATTCTTTCCTGTATCCTTTCTATTCCTCCCTTTGTTCTTCCATATTCTTCCCGAGGCTTCAGTCGACGCAAGCGCAGCAAGCAACCCGGTCCTGCGGCTTCGCCCAGTAGTCCCCCAGCGAACGCGTTGTCGCCTTTCCGAGCCCAGCTCTGCAGCTCTACCCTGCTGCATGCTAGAAAGGGATCGAAGAAATCAGCAGAGAATGAGGGTTTAGGGTTTAGGGTTTAGGGTTTCGGGTTTAGGGTTTAGGGTTTAGGGTTTAGGGTTTAGGGCCAGAAAACTCTGTTGCAGAGGTACCTGACGACATCCGAGCTCATGTTCCGCAGCTGGGGCCGGTACGAGCCGGCCAGGAGCGCCTCCCAGCATCGCTCGTTTCTCACCGGAACGCAGTACTCGGGGTTTAGGGTCTAGGGTTTAGGGTTAAGGGTTTAGGGTTTAGGGTTTAGGGTTTAGGGTTTGGGGTTTGGGGTTTGGGGTTTGGGGTTTGGGGTTTGGTGTTTGGGGTTTTCCCGCAAGCCTCCAAGTCCCTCCATCTCCCCTTTCGCACCTCCTGTTGTGACGCGCTTATCCGGAGTGAGGCTGCCTTGACCCGCATGTCCACATGCATCCCATGTAGGGTTTAGGCTTCCGGGTTTCGGGTTAATGGATGTTCAGGGTTTAGGGGTGACCCTACATACTCAAGCATACTTTTGATCTTCCACAGCCTGGCACCGCGAGCATTAGGAACGACAGCATGGCCACAGCAAGGTTGCGCTTGAGCCCCAAAAGTACTATCCACCCCTCATCCTGAAATTGTCCTAAACATTACATTATCTTCTGTCGATGCACCCAGATACTTCAGCAGAAACTCAACAAAGCATGTCATGCGGAATGCTGTGTTCCCATATCTGACCTTCTCAAGAACTCATGAGTCTTCTCTTCCCAAGGCTCCGGCCACCTGCTGCAAGCACCCTCCGGAGTTCCTGAAGCTCTAGGACCCTAAACCCTAAACCCTAAACCCTAAACCCTAAACCCTTGCAGGGCTCTCTTCGGCATGATGGGCCGGTGCAATAGGTTGCTAGTGGCCATGTTGAAGCTGCGACAGACTGCCGGCTTTTGCGTCTCTGCGCGGGCTCTTCTCGCGGGGGGCTGCGACGTAAACCTCATGAGCGCTCCGCAGCGTGCCTCCGGCGTCGCGCTTTGGACGTTGTGGTCGAAGGATAGATCACGCGCTGCTCCCTGCTCTGCCAACACCTGATGTCTGCAAAGGCTCCGAGACTCAAAAAACTTCACTCCGTTTCCCCTGCCTGAGCCCAAAAGCTTACGCCGAGAGGCACATCTGCAGTCCCCGCAGTTGGCGACCACGATGCTGGTTGGCGAGACCTGCACTTCCGAGCTCTGACATGCTTTTGCAGTTTGCAGGGTTCTTTGGCACGCTACACCCTGCGCTGCGGAGTCACCGGGGGTCCGGCCACAGCCGCAGTGACACAGGCGCCCGAGGCCCAGAGCGGAAGGCCTTGCAAGTCGCTGCTTTCACCGATTTTTGTTTTCCCCCTTTGTGAATTTTTTGGAGCTGCTGCAAGCAATCTCGGGCCTGCAGACTGCTGCAGCAACTCCGTCTGCACGAAGGCTTCCACCAGCGCTGATTCGAGCTGCCCTGAAGGCTAATGCGTGACATTTGGGGGTTTACAAAAACACAGGGGACCCCTAATATAGACAAATAGTAGGACTCCTGTATATTAAGGACCTCAGTAAGGTGCCTCGATTTTCGGAAACCCCAATTTAGATTCTGTGCAGGCACCGTGACATCCATGGGTCCATGACAGGCCACAGCCAAACCGTTGAGAGGGTCCATAAACAGCTGCGCCGCCTTCTGCGAAGTGGCGCGATTTCGCAAGCTGCGTTGGCAAGTGCCGACCTTAAGACAGAGATGTGACGAGCAACTTTGACACCACCTGCCTAGAATCCAAAGCCCTCACACAGCAAAAGCGTGGATGTTCACGAACTCACATGGCTGGGCACTCAGACGCACGAAGGTTGCACAAACCTCTCCGCACTCACCGTGACCATCCGCCACACCTCAGGAGCGAAAGCGCAATGCAAGAGATCCGAGCCGACTTGTCATGTCCACCAAGCGTCGGGCCATAGAGTGCCACCCTATCCACACCTCCCAGGCGCACGCCAAAGGTGGCGGCCATGTCCTCCACGATGAAGTAGGAGTCCTTCAATCACTGCAAAACACCAGCTGGACTAAGTGCAAGAGAAGCAGTTGCTAAGTAGCTGATGCACTCTTCTGACAACAGATGCACCCTCTTGCGGGCACCCTATTGCTTCGGCAAAGAGGGCCCAACCTGTTGCTTGACATTCTTCGGGAAGCTCTTGTTTTGGAACTGGGCCTCAGGAGCAGCGAACAAGTGCGAACATGGTGCCAAGGGAACAAAGTGAGGACTGCCCGGCATTCTTCACTAGGACCTAGGAACCGCACAGCACCGCATGTGGCGAAATCCTCGCATGGCACGATTTCCTGCGCAAGGCCAACAAGCGCGCAACAGTCCACTCCCCACGCAGGTAGGTGTGTGCCCCACCCAAGAAAGAAGTGGCCCTAAACCCTAAACCCTAAACCCCAACCCTAAACCCTAAACCCTAAACCCTAAACCCTGGGTTTCCGAGCCTCCGGTGCCATGGACCGCTCATCAGCCCTGCTCGATTTGAGCAGCGCAAGCCATTGTGCACCGCATTGCAGGCGAGCGTTTCTTTCATCCCCCCAAAGAGAGAGCCAGAAAGCACCACAGATACACATCAACCGGTTTAGGGTTTAGGGTTTAGGGTTCAGGGTTTAGGGTTTAGGGTTTAGGGTTTAGGGCTTAGGGTTTAGGGTTTAGGGTTTCGGGAACCTCCCAGAAACGGCAGGTAGATGGATGCCAGTGCAGACTCCATCGTCGTAGACCCTGTGTGACCCTGTCTCTCGTCATCAGTATGAAAGTTTAGCAAACGAGCATCCGAAACAGTCGTCTTTTTCGAGACATCATCGCAAGCGGGTTTGAAGAATGATTCTTTGAATTAAAAATTGCAAAGGAGATCTCCCTACTACCGAAGATGCCATTCATCAATACATGCAGACCTTTTCTTGGTTGTTCTTCTTTTGGAAAGCTCTCCAAACATCCTGTACAACTGCTTTGAGCAGTCGTTTCGATGCCAATACAAATCCGAACGCTGAATGGAAGAAGGACACTCTTGGCTTTGCCAAGATCTTGACTGTCCGGTCTCAGCGCCAACCACCGAGTTGCGCCCGACTGATCCCACGACACAGACAATGGAACTGCACAGCGGAACATGATTCCAAAAGCTTTAACTTGAGTCCTTGCAAAGTTCAGGCAGGCGACATCCCATTTCGCAACTTGGTCGAACCTTTTTGTTCCGTACAAATTCAACTCTCCTGAGCCTACGTGGCTATATCGTGAGCTTCGAGGATTGCACGCCGATGTCCTCCAATTCTGGCCTGGCCACCTGCAAGTGCTTGGGGCAGCTGTACGCTACTGGTTCTTGGTAGGGAATTAGGGAATGAGGTACCCTATATCGTCCCTTATAAGGGAATAAGGGAGTGAGGTACCCTACTACATAGCCCCTTGTAAGACACCGACGTCCCTCCTGCGAACCAGGAGGTAGCCTTTCGAAGCCAATGCTTCAATTTCTTATCCCGCAAGTCCTGGAGCTCTGAAGAGCAGCCCTTCGATACTGGCCATACCCCCTACTTTTTCCTACGTTTCAGAGTTTTAGACTTGCAAGGCTGCTGTTTGCCCAAACATTGGCGCAAGGAGGTGAGCCCTCGTGTGGCTCGGCATGACAGCGAAGGGCGAGGAAGCAAGCCGCGCCTGACGTGTTGGAAGAGCCACCGGAAGATCAGACATCATGGAAGTGTGTTGACACCAGGCCAGCTCCTGGCTTTCAGCAGGATCTCGAAGCTGCAACAAGGCAATGCGGAGTCGAGTTTTCGATGCGGGGCGCTGCGGTCACATACCCGTGGCGAAGAAGCACAACGCAAGACAATAAGAGTGCAAAGTCCTCAAGTCCAAGATCGAAGCCTCCAAAAAGCCCAAGCAGCTCATACTGCACACAATGCGGGCAGCTGTCACAGGGAATGGGGGCTAAAGATTCCAACATGGCCGATATTAGGGGTACCGTTTCCTAAACCGGTCCTCGAAGGCTGAGTCCCCCTCCAGCACCCGGTCATCCGCATCGTCGCGGGCAGCTGCCGCAGCCGGATCCTCCCGACCCGCTCTCAGCATTTTTTCTTGTACCCTAACCCTAAACCATAAACCATAAACCCTAAACCCTCAACCCTGAACCCTAAAAACACTTGTACCCTGGGCAGGTGCAACTGTCAACCTATTTCTCTGTCGAGGCCCCGTCGGTGCGGTGCTGACATTGCGCCCTCTCCACGAGCGCACCAAGTGTAACACGGAATTTGCGTTTTCTAGGGTTCTTAAGGTTTAGGGTTTAGGGTTTAGGGTTTCGGGTTTAGGGTTTACGGTTTAGGGTTTAGGGCGTTTTCTAGGGTTCTTAAGGGAGGGAGGGATTCAAGGGGGGTGTGTAGCAAGGTTCCCCTATACTCCCCGATACTCCCTAGGGCTCCCTAAGCTTCCCTAAGGTTCCCGAGGCACCAACCTTCGACAAAGGACTTTTAGTAACAGATCCAGCGTTAAAGAGTGAGCAAAATGGGGCCCTTTCTTGATCTCAAAGTTGGTGCCCCTGTGGCGTTTTTTTGTTCACTCACTTCATTATCTGGAGATAGAACGAATGAAGAATGAAATCCTGTATGACATGAACATACGAAAATAAGGAACAAAAGGACTTAATAAAGGCCGTATGATTATTCACATGGCCCGGAATCATCTTCTTTCGATTACTATTACCCCCCGCGCATACACTGCTATTGTATTAATGTATCGCGGGGTGTACGAAGTGAGTGAGTGAACTGAATTATGAGAACTCCCAAAATCTTTCTGGAATTAGAACCAGATATCGCACAACCACATTATGCCCATGTGCAATCAGGTTTGGAAGAGACATCTACATGGATATGACAATACATGCTGGCGGCCACAACGCATCCGCTCGCTCGGTCTTCACACATACGGGCGAGTGCCCCATGGAAACCAAAAAAAGAGAGCACCTCCACACATGCAGCCGGAGTCAATTTCATGTTCATTTCTGGCATAAACCCTAAACCCTAAACCGTAAACCGTAAACCCTAAACCGTAAACCCTAAACCCTAGACCCGCCCCCCGCTCCTTGTATCGGTGCATCCGGCCAGCGATCTCCGAAACCTGCTTCTGCTGCAGGCCCTCGGATCCCAGCGGCGAGAAGGGCATGGCCAACACGTTGACCAGGCTTCGGTAGGCCTTGGTTTAGGGTTTAGGGTTTAGGGTTTAGGGTTTAGGGTTTAGGGTTTAGGGTTTAGGGTCTTGGAGGTTCATGGTACTTAGAACCACTTATAACCTAAGTGGGCGATAAGTACAGTTACAATTGGTTAATAAATACCATGAACCTCACAGGTGGCGGAAAATCCGTCTGACGGTCAACCCAACTTCAACCACATGGCACTTGGAGGTTAATTGGTACTTATAGCCACTTCTAGCCTACTTGGAAGACTTAGGGGGCTGATAAATGCAGTTATAATTGGGTTATATGTTAAGTACCCTGAACCTCCAAGTATGCGGAGTGGTCTTGGGCGTGCGAGGGCATTTCAAGGCTCAAACGGCTTCCGTGTCTATAACATGTTCCAGGGTGATGGCTGTTGTAGTGCTGGATTTTTCCATGTTTTTTCAATGCGAAAGCGCAACACCTGCAGCCTTTTGGGGGTTTAGGTTTCCAACGCTACTGTTGTCCGTCTGAGTCTGGGGAGTCAACGCGCTCCAAATCATCCTCGCCCTCCCCTAAGGGCTCAATGGTCCGTGGCATTGCAATCAAGGCTGAGGTGAAACCCCACGCCCAGTCCTGACCCACCATGCCGCTCTAGGCCAAAGCTGTACAAAATGTGCATGCGCGCGTTTGCACTTCCTCGCGCCAAGAGTTTTTCCAAGCTCGCCGCTACAGTTCCCATCCTTGATGGACTCACAAAGCAGCGAGCGTACCGTAACCTGGACTCCCAAAATCACCGTGCTTCTGCAAGAGGCGTACCCACCAGCCCCTGCGCCCAAGCCGTGCGAGACGCCAGCCTTCAACCACCCGAAATCCGAGCTTGTTGTGAGCCTATAACATTGGGGTGGAGAGTGATCCCAAGGCCATATACACATGCAAGACCTCTTGGCACACACATCGACCCAGTCCTGTCCAAGAGCCGGGAAGAGTGCCATTCCCACACACCCCAGACCCGGCAACCCCTCATCAGGGGGTCCCTGGTCTTTCCCAAATACCTCTTCCGAATCCTCGGCGACAACTGCTGAAAAAGGGTCCGCGTTGGCGCGCCCCCTTCGTCCCAAATTCTAGGGGGTCAGCCTCAAACCCACCCTTAAAAACCTCCTTATGGCTCAGCTGGCGCAGAGTCTTCACAAAGGCCCTCCCTCAAATTTGAGGGGAGAGCTTTCGTAACTATAGTAGGTTGCCGGGATGTTCTGAGTATCCAAACAAAAAAGGAAGCCCACGATGGCCAGGCAGCCTGAACGAATGGCCCATTGGCATGCAGATTCTCCGATTCTTCATTTGCATCCAGACTGATATGATCAAAGTTCGGAAACTCAAATTGTGGATCGGCAATGAGGGTCAGTAACTCCAAGCTCCGTCCCCAAGCAGAAAACGCCGTGACAAGCAGATCGCCAAAGCGAGGATTGCTGAAAATGCCACGGACCAGCAGCACCACGAGGTAGTAGGCATACGGCTTCCACCTCATCATCTGTCCCCTGTTCAGCACAACAGCACACTCCACACGCAAGTGCGCTTGAAGCAGAATCCTTAGCTGACTCTCCACTCCACTGTTCAAACGTCATTGCTTCGAGGGCTCGAAACGTCTACATGGGCGTTTCCCAATACACCCCAACACACGGTGATCATCATGATAGGAATCGGAATAGGAAGAGGAACCCCCCCCTATGGGCACACACTCAATGTTTGAGGTAGCTACAGCAGCCGAGCGGCATGAAGACTTCACAGGAAGAAAGCGACTCAGCGTCGGCCACCGAGCTGATGATGAGTATCCGTGCTCTGGACGGAGCCGACAGCTTGGGTGTCGATTGAGAAAGCAAAGTTCTTCTGATCCCACGGCTCTGCATTCCACATCGGCCAAGCAGACCCCGAACCACGTCCTCCCGTCCCCAGACCTGAGCTGCCATGCTTAGGGTGCATGTGTGGCATAGCATGGTGGATGTAACAGTGCAGCGCGCACACACACACACACACACACACTCACACACACGAGACAGCTTGGAGAACTTGGTAGGGGCCCGGCCGGACCAAATCGCGGCATATTCAGCGGCACCAGCTCTTCTTGCAGCCATTGGTATGCGAGCCGGACATCCTAAGAGAAACTCACTTCCAGAGTATGCCCATGCGTGCCCTTATGAAAACCTGCCCCAGTCCGGCCTCGATCTCAATTCCGTAGTTGGCGAGCATCTGGAGCTGCTGGGGGGTCCAATAGCTTGGGAGCAGGTCTTGCGCCTCGTCCGAGAGCCGCCGAAAGCCATCGCAAAGCAACGGCACTGTGGTGATGCCATTCTTCCATGCTGTCGTGATCTCGCCTGCGCACCAAACCTAGGCTGCTGATGGCCTACTGTGCGTGCAGAATTCCCCTTCACACATATACTATCGCTGACCGACCGCAGGCAGCTACAAACAGTCAGCTGGCCAACCCCTTCCTGAAAAGGAGCCTGCGACCAAGGAGCTCGTTTCAGCACCTCGGGTGTCAGCACCACCACCACGCTTTCGGACGACGAGCGGACAATGTCAAAGAGCAGGTCCAGGTTCTCCAGCTGATCGCAGTCCAAGAAAACGCGCAACTTGCTGTGTCTGGCAACAAGGATCTTGATGAGCCTGCACAGGCTCCCAGCACCGCCTTTGTGATGACAGAGAAACATCCCATAGAGGCAGTTGCGCTTGAAGTGGCCCAGAAAGGCACGAAGGAGCGCGCCCAGGCAGGTCAGGGCAAGGCCGACGACGGGAATGCAGAGGAGCCAGCCCAGGACCGAGGAGGACCGCTCCAGGTCGTGGCTCAGTAGAGGAGCAGCACCGATCAGGAGCAGAAGCAAGAGCACGGTAAGCACGACTTCCACATGGTTTGCCTGCTCGGTCCGCCAGGGGTAGAGCCTGGCTTGCATGACGAGGCTGGCAAGTAGGATCAAGCCCATGCAGGGCATCTGAACCTCGGGCGCCCCTACGACCAGGATGGGAAGCAGTGCAACAAGGCCATTGCGACATAATAGGAGGAGGCCGTAGTAATATTGCTCCGACTTAAACCGGTGGAACAGGAATCGGTAGCGGTTCACCATTCGAAGACCCTTGCCGCTGGCAACCCGTGAGGGATACATCAGGGTGACGTACGCAGCTCCGACAATAACTGGCAAAGGCTGAGTCAGGAATCCGATGGCCGCGATTGATATGAAAAGCATGTGCTCCTCCGACTCGTAGCAGATGATGCCCGGGTCTGATACAAGTGAAGAGGACCCGTTCGGATTTGGAGCACACTGGAACGGGCGCAAGGTGGTCAGGGTGATGGTGAGGAAGAAGGCGAAGAGGAAAAGCCCGCACATATTCAATATGGTGTCGAGCGGCTTCGGGTGAGAAACGAATCTTGACAAGAGCCACGCGAGCAGGAGGAAAGCACAGGCAGCTGGGCAGACCATCAACTGAAAGACAAACTTGAGTACAGGACCTGCTTCATTGTTGGGGTTATCTTTAAAAATTTCATGTTTATTCCTTACTGGGAATTTCATATGACAAAAAATGTAAAATCACAACCATTCCCAGGGACGATCTGTCCCGAAAAGGCAGGTGATTCGGACGAAGTCAAAGTCCAGGGTCAGCAGGTCTGTGAACTCCAGCAGCCGTTTCACCGGATGCTGCCAGACGAGGGACCTATACTCCCCTTAGAACCTCAATAAAAGTAGTATGTCTAATTTCCTCTTGGGTTTTACCCTAAACCCTAAACCCTAAACCCTAAACCCTAAACCCTAAACCCTAAACCCTAAACCCTAAACCCTAAACCCTGTTTAAAAAAAAATTCCCAAGGGGGATAAAGACACAGCTGGCGCATGGAGCCCAGGGTCTGCGCTGCCACGACCATCTGGCCGGTCACCGAGGCCGCGGTGACCAGGTTGAAGCCTCGCCCCCCGAAATCTCTCCAAAACAACCGGGGGGGGGGGGGGGGGGTAGGGTTTAGGGTTTAGGGTTTAGGGTTTAGGGTTTAGGGTTTAGGGAGGGCTTAGGGCTTGGGGTTTAGGGTTTCTGAAGGGAATACCGAAGAAAATAGCCAAGGGAATGGGAATCAAGGGCATGACAGAATCTGCATGGGATATCTTGGGATGGGGATGCCGAGGGAACTTGTAGCTGGACTGCAGGCCTCTTCCCTAAACCCTAAACCCTAAACCCTAAACCCTAAACCTTATTCTTGCAGGCAGGGCACTGGTCTGGCTTGGCTCAATTCTGAACACGCTGAGGACGATCAGGCCGAGGAAGAAGAGAAGAAAGAAGAGGATCCCGGGTATCCAGTCGCCACCTTCACAAGGTTGGGGCTTTAGGGTTTAGGGTTTAGGGTTCAGGGTTCAGGGTTCAGGGTTTAGGGTTTAGGGTTTAGGGTTTAGGGTTTAGGGTATCCAGTCGCCACCTTCACAAGGTTGGCAGCTTCCTGTCCCCGTACCCTCAATCACCGGGAAATGATCGGTCTTGCAGTTGTTGCAGGCTCGACCTTCTCTTCCGTCTGCACAATTCCCCAGCTCGGCGAGCGGGCACTCATACTTGCTGCGGCAGTGAAGAACTGATGCCTCGCAAGATTCTGATCCGTTGAAAAGGGCCGGGTCTGCCCAGTAGCCTGGCATCTGCAACGGAGGGCCCAGACCCTTGGGACAATACAAACCATGGGGGCAGGGCTTGCACACGTTGTTGCACATGAAGGTTTCGTCGTCGCACAAGCACTGCGACTGGGAGTCAGCGCCGCTCTCGGGTGTGACCTGGCCCCCTCCGCAGATGAGGCAGGCCGAGCCTTGGGGAAATGGCATATAGCTCCCGAGCTCACATCGCGTGCATGCCTCCATGCCGGTGCGGGCCGCCACATATCCAGGAATGCAAGGGCTGCACTGGAAGGAACCGATGTCTCCAGCAAACTGGCCTTCCGGGCATGGAGTGCACGTCGACATCCCCGTGCTACCTGCAAAGGTTCCCCGAGGGCACAAGACGAAGGAAGCATTGCCTCCTGCGCACATGCTGCCTCTGGGACAAACTCTGCATTGTCTTGACTCCGCTTGGTAGAAGCCGCTCTCGCACAAAAAGAGTCGTTGTGGAGCTTTCAGCCCCCGGGACCCATCCATCCAAACCAGGTCTGTCTGAAAGGTAAAGTTCCCAGTGGAGGCACTGAACACCGCTGCAACAACAGATTGAGGCGCCTGCCTGTGAAGTTGCTGCATGTTCAGCAAGTTGTAGGCCCCTAGGCGGTCGCCGTTCTCATCGAAGCTGACCTGCCCCGAGGCTCCAACGAACTGAGTTTTGAGCAACTCCTCAAGAAGCACCTCGCTCCGAATAGCACTCTGGGGCACTCCCTTCTGCAAGAGCTGGTTGATGGCAACCAGAAAAGTGTACACGGCATCAAAGGCCAGCACGGTCCATGTCGATATCTTGGCAACGTCACCAATGACACTTTGAACCGATGCATGATCCAAGGGTGCTTTCATCCTGTCCAGACTGTATTCTTGTCTGGCCTCCGTGCTCAGGATGTCCTCTTCTTCGATTCTGGACCAGAGCCGCTGGAAGTCTGGAAAGCGCGAGCCCATGGCAGATGGCAAAAAGGTCATGAAGCCCAGTGGGAGTGTCACGTCGGCATACGTGTCCGTGCCGACGAGCTGCCAGCCTTCACCCAGCATGCCCTCGTCTTCCAGCACAGGCAGAATTTGCGAAGCCATCCTCGGCTCCACGGCCAAAATCACGAAGTTCGAACCCAGATCACGCAAACCTCCAACAGTCTCGCGCACTTCCGCAGCATCAAAGTCCTGGGGCATGTAGCGCAAGGATTTGCCCTTTATCCGGTCCGGTTGGCCGGCCTGTTGTGATCTCTTCTGGATTTCCTGCATTAAGCCCTGCCCGAAGCCTTCCATGGAGTACAAGCACGTTACCATCGGAATGTCGGCCTGCACGATCCATTCCCACAGGGCGAACGCCTGGATGGTGTCTGGAGCTGCAGTTCGCAAGAAGAATGGGTACGCGGCCTTGTTAGAAAGAGCCGGGCTGGTTGAACCAAAGGAAATTTGCGGCACCTTCTGGACGGACGCCAACGTAGCAACGGGCATGCTGACAACAGATGCGCGGGCACCAATGAGTCCCACAGCAGGCTGCGCCCCATCCAGGCCCAACATCATGTCCAAAGCTGTGGCCAATCCCATGTCCGGCTGCAGGTGTGTTGTGCCAACACGCAGGGTTATGGTGCTTGCATTTGCGTGCACGCCCCCTGGGATGTCGATGACGGGTGGGCCCAACCTGGCCACCAAGGACGCATCAAAATGCTTACGGAAGTCCAGGAGTGCTGCTATAGTCGCCACCAGCTCCTCCGAGCCACTGGCCGTCCATCCTGCCAGAGCACCTAAGGCAATCTCGCCATCAACGCTGCGAGCCAGGCAAGCTAGCAGCAGACCATGGCGTCGCCAAGACATCAGCCGATGATCGTGGGGACCGAAACTCCAAAACTGCCATGATTTGAGAAGCTTCCCTTCCGTACGATTCTAGAATGATTGCCTCCCAATACCTTCGCTGCCGACTAGTTGTTAATTTGGACCTGCTGATGTGTGTACGGCAAGGCATCGACACACATGTCACAATGATCTGCAACTGCCCGATGCAGGCATGCCCACGCCATCCGGGAACAGTAAAAGATCGTGCCTACCGAAATTGCCCCAAAAACAACTCGTGAATGACAAATTCAATATAATGACACATGCAAAATGCCACGCGACGGCGCTCAGAAGATGGGCCGCAAACATAGATATTGAGCTCCATATCCAAACCCAAAATCTTGATGTCGCTCATACTAGCGCCCTTTGCCTTCTCTAGGCTGCTTCTTCACCAGCAGAAACTGGTAGGTTTTGGGTCTAGAGTTTCGGGTTAGGGTTCAGGGTTTAGGGTTTAGGGTTTCGGCAGGACAACGAACCGTAGCACTCGAGGCTGCTTTCAAGATACCACCGGCGCGAACTTCGGGAGAAAAAAAAAAAGTTTTGCTGGCGGGTCTTGCTGCACACACCCAACTTACCCAGATCACCAAGAAATTGCACGCCGTCGGCGATCGGCGCACGTGAAGCTCCGGGCGGTGCAGCGCACATTTCCGCGCGAGAACGGGGATCCTCTCTGTGATTCTTCGTCGCTGGGCCCTCTTCCCAAGCGCTGGGATGCCTGGGATGCCCCTTTCTCACCTCTTGGGGTTTCGGGTTTAGGGTTTAGGGTGCGGAGCTGCAGTTTGTATTCAGGAAATGAGTTGGTGTTGAAGGAAGAAGGGTCAACGTACCCGTTACTATTTGGCTCAAGATGGGCTTGAACAAGAAGCCACAAGTTCAAAAAGTAGTGCCTGGGCTCTTAGGGTTTGTTAAGGGTGTGGATTCCTTTCCCCCTTCTTTCCCCCCTGGGTTGCTCTTATCCGTGTTTTGGGTTGTCTCTTGGTTCGATCTGGGGAATATAAGTTCTGGGCAATCAGTGGGGTTGATTTCTTTCCTTCTTTGGTTGTCCCCCCGTAGGTTATGAGCCCAAATTAGGTTCCCTGCGGTTAAGTGTTCTCTCAAGGTTTTTGGGATCAAGAAGCAATGCCTTCTCCCAAGCGATGGCTCCAGCCTTCCTCGGATGGTGGAAAGAATGGTGGAGCTGGAAGTGGTGCAGCTGAGTCTCTGGGTGAAAGGGCGGCGCTGGAAGAGGTAATGCCTGGCGCTGAAGAACATCTGGAGGAAGCCTCGGTTGCAGAAGGCCCCAATGAGGGTATGAATCCCAATGCGGATATGGTTAGCAATGCTGAAGCTGAAGGACGAGCTGTTTCTGTATCGCCAAAGCCTGGGGAAAAGAGGAACTGGGACGCGACTGGCGGTATAGACCGTGAACTGGAGGTGACTTTTTTACGCGTGTTGCAAAGGCATGGGTATCAGCCGTCGACTTCAACTTCGGGCCGAATGGTGGATCAAGGGTCTCAGACCAATCTGAGTGGAGAAGTGCTGCAAGCTTCCAGGAGACCTCTGAACAAGATTAAAGAGGATCCCTCGGCGAGTTCCATGTGTGGTGAAAGCGGTTATGAACAGAAGGGTGCGGACAGCTTTGAAGCTGCACCAACTGCTGAATACGCCATGGGGGAGGAGGAGATCTTACAGATGGAGGCTGAAAGGTTGCGCCAGTTGTCAGAAGAAGCGGATGAGATGCGTCAAGTCTCTGAAATGGATGGTTTTCGGAAAGATGAGCATCTGATTCAAGCGTGTGATGGGACAACTTGGGAATGGCACTTCCACGAAGATGGGAGACAGTATGACAGTATTACTACTGCCTGGATACGCAGGAAAGCAAGTGGACGTTGCCGGATGTAGGTGAAAAGATGGGAAGTGACGAGGTGGTTGGGTCTCCTTCGGGCAATGAGCTGGAAATGGAGACTGCGCTGGGTCCTTCATCGTCTACTCCGACACCTGAGTCTACGAGGGCATTCCAGGGTAGTGTAAATAGCGTAGGTGAAAAGGATTTTTCCTCTACTATCGGGGATAGCGGTTTTAGGGCTGGTGGTGACGCCCAGACCTCGGGTTCTCCTGATGAGGAAGGAATTTCCGGAATCCGAACAGACATAGCTGGAGAACATCTGGATCGGGAAGGAATGGAAGCACTTTCTGAGGGTGTTGCAGCGGTGGAATCGGTGGATCCAGAGGACAAAATGCCCAATGCGGAGGTGGAAACTGTGTCGGCTGCGGAAGAGCGAGTGGTGGATGTGGTACCTGTCATTCAGGAAGGTGGTCCTGGAGATCTGGATGACGGAGGGAAAAAGTTGTGCATTACGACTGAGGAGGTCTCTTCGTTTGGTGCCATGAATCCTGCCATTCAAGGGAAAAATGAAGCTTCTGAAATAGCTGGAGACACGGTTGATCTGAAGGATGAGGCCTGGAGCGCCAATGAAGCGCGGGCCAATGTGCCAGATAGTACCTAGAATGCAGAGAAAGCACGGGTTGAGGCACATATGGTTTCATGTTCCGCGGATGACTGCAACAATGGGGCGCAGGTCTCCGTAGCAGCCGACGATGGAGGCTCACAGGTGGACGCACTAGTGCAGCCTGAAGTTGGCAGCGAGGAACGGAATGGTGAAGGCTACACCGGAGCCAATGTGGCAGCTGTGGCCAATGATGGTGGTGATTCTCTTTTGGAAACCATGGAGCCAAAGGAGCCTGCGGTGGAAGAAAATGTGCCTACTGCGGATGACCAATCAAACAACCCTGCAGTGGAAGAAAATTTGCCTGCTGCAGAAGGTTTGACAAAGGACTCCAATGGTGGGTCCACTCCCAGGAAGGGGGAGGTATTGCCGTCTGAAAGCTTGCCGGAAGTCGACACCGAGCGAACTGTAACAGATGAGGCAAAGCCGTTGGCTGGAAAAGAGGATGGTCCTGAACCCCTTGAGCACAAGGTGGATGATCTTGTGGAACTCGTGCAGGAGCAGGACAAGCAGCTTGGCCCAAAGGTGGAAGCAAGTGATGTTCCAGGAGCCGAAGACAAGGAGATGGTTTCTGAAGAACAAACAAAGGAAGTGCCCAATGAGGGAGCCTTGGTGACACCTGGGAAGCATTGTTATCAAGCGGGAGATATGATCACTGGTCTGGTGCGCTACATCAATGTATATGGAGCCTTTTTGGACCATGGTGATCTGAATGTGCTAATTCCTGCAGAAGGGAAAAATACACCTTCTTTCAAAATTGGTGACACTGTCTGTGCGGCAGTGAAGACGGTGGAAGATGATGGCACTGTGATCTTAGATTCCTACCTGGTTTTGGAAGAGGACGTGGAGGACTCTTCTTCAGCGCAGCGCAAATGGAAAGACGGCGGCTGGGATACGTGGTGGGAAGATTCATGGTGTGCAGGTCAATGGTACCAAGATTCCAACGGTCAATGGGACTGGAAATGGGAAGAAGGGCAATCCGATGATTGGTTTGCTGATCATGGCTTATCCTCAGAAGAACAAAAGGAAAGGCAACTCTATGGAGAAAGGATCTATAGAGCTCTTCTGGAGGATGAAAAAGCTGATAAGGCCTATTTGGGCAAAATCACTGGGATGTTGTTGAGTCGTCCAATAGACGAGGTTATGGAGTTTGTCGCAGATCATGCATTCCTGAATAATGAAGCTCGGCGCGCATACAGCATCTTGCAAAGCGATGGTTGGAAGCCCGACGGTACAGAATGTGCAGGCTTGGAAAAAACAACCACCTTTTCCCGGAAGCAGTACCACAACGCGCTCTACGAACTGGCACGTAAGAAAAGGAGATATAGTGAACCAGTCGTAGCAATGTTGCTAAGCCAAGGCAAAGATGAACTTTGGAATGCGCTCTGGTTGGATACCAAGCGATTTTTGCAAGAGCTTGATGGTGCAGTTGAATCTATGAGTAAGAGGGAAAACAGGCCAATGGAAGCCTACATGGACCCGGATCAGTATAGAAAGGTTCACATGACGCCAAGAACTGTGTCACCAGGGTACAGCAAGCTGTGCAAATTCTTCAATCAAGGGAGGTGTCGCAATGGAAGCGAGTGTTCCTGTGAACATCGTCGTCATGGTGATGGTTGGCCAGAAAGAGGTCCAACTGAGCCAAAGAACAGCCAAAAAGCTGGTGACGAAGATGGGGACATTGGTGACCCTCCTACAGATGAAGGCACAGTTGATGAGGCACAGCAGAAGCGGGAGGATTCAGCCTTCAGAGCCAAGTACAACTTTGGTAAAGGTGCATCAAAGGGTGAGCCTGTGTCAGTCGAGTCAAAGAGGCAGATGTGTCTGTATTACAACCAGGAAGTTTGTAAATTTGGAAATTCCAGCAGATACTCGCACGACGAAAAAGCGGTTTTGCAAGGGACTTGGGAACCCGGCAGATCCTGGGACAATGCTTCTAGGAAAGCCATAAGGGACGCAGGATTCCATCATTGCTGCTTCGACTACTACCTCAAAGGGAAATGTCGCGTGCGATATGGTTGCAAGTATTCCCACGACGAAATGTCTGAAGAGCGACTGGCTCAACTGAAGTATCTGGCGAATGTGGCGAACCATGTTCGGTTTCAAAGAGGAAGAGGATTGGAGATTTCCGACAGGAATACCTTCCAACCACCGGTAAGTCGGGGAGCGGAATCTTCATCATCTTCGGCACCACAGGCGTTGCAAATGACCAATGTGTCAGAGAAAGCAGGTGAGGTTGATACGCTGGATGGAGTAGATGGAGATGTACAAAAGGATTCGGTGGCAGAGTCTACCACTGTACTTCTTCAGAATCCGGAAGAGCCAATAGAAAATTGGATGGCTCGCAAGCAACACTTGTGGGTGTATACGCCTCACGTAAGTGACGTGATGATCAAGCTTGGTGTGACCAACGTCAAGGAGCTACAAGAGTATATCTTCGTGGAAGATTTGGTGGAAAAAGGGGTTAACAAGGTGACGGCCTGCAGAATTCTGGAA